GACAACATGAAGAAAGGTAAGGTTAAAAAAAAAAATCACACAAAGATTTTAAAAGACAGAAATAGCCCTCCCTAAACACCAGTGTTTCTCACTTACCTGGAGGGATGTGTAACTTAAAAAGCAGCTTGAGTTTCTCAGTGAAACTTCCATTATACATGGTATCTGTTACAGGAGAGAGGAAAGACAGTCTGATCAGCTGGACCAAACTTTAAAACACCCTGTTAACCTAAACAATTGCAACTGGATATATGTCTTATCTTCCTCTGCATACAATTAGAGATGAAGGATAAGGGTGGCAATACCCCTGCAGCTGAACCTGGGGTTTGTCTACACTGCTTTACAACATTTCATCATACTATCCTATTCCTAAGTATGTCTGAACATCTAGAGAAACACAAAAGCATGGCTTTTTAACAGACCGTAACATATCTTCTGGGGTGAGCTAAAACCTCGGTTACAGAAGAAAGTACAGCCAGAGCATAGAATAATGCCTACCACTCACTAAAATGAAGCCACAGGAACAAATAAATATATCGCTAATGTCTTCTCAGTGTTTTCCTTCACATTTTTGTTTCCTGCACAATAGCACTTTGAAAATAAGACGTGAGAGACACAGCAGTAAATCTAGACAACTTTCAGCTTCCCAGAGATATCAGACCTTGGTTATCTTGCATGATCTGCATATGAGGTAGTGACAGTGTGAGGAAGAATTTATCATCAACCACAAAAGTTTGGGCAATATGGTTGCACTATTTCCCAACTTTCTGACATTTTGATAGTAAATTCATTTAAAAATATAATCTCAGAGGGATTCGCAGAATCTACCTTTCAGAAGAATTACTGATTTATAAAGCCTGATGTTAGTCATTTCACTGTCAAATATAGACAAGCAAATCAACAAGGGTACAGTTCTCCCATTAAAAGCTCTTATCATCCACCTAAAGAATGTAATGCCTACGCTCAAACTTAATATAATCTGAGCACCTGAGCTACCATTTAATCTTTGCATTTAATGCTATGCAATAAAGACAACACTGTTTCAACCCTAAATTAAGAGGCTAGCCTCCTTAAGTTCCTTAGATATAGCACTGAAGAAGATACAAGATGCATTTCCAGGACTCCATCCAGGACAGAGTTCCCTTGTCAAGCTGCTAAACAAGCACTGTTTTCATACCAAGAACACAGGCAAATTGTTTGAAATTTATAAGGCAGTCGGAGTTCTCATCCATAAGTCTGAATATCCACACTGCAAGTGAGTCTCTGTTTGCACAATGTGACCATGGACTCAGGAGATGACAGAGAACCCTGAATTGCTGGCAATCAATCCGATACTGGTCCAAATATGGCAGACTGGCATCATGGTGTTGCAAGGCAGGACTGTTTACATTCCAATAACAGGAAAGAAAGTGCTCCTTCTGTAAAGGAAAAGCAAAATGATAGATGATATGACAATTATCTCCTGGGATGAAAGATGTGGGATGTTAATTATGCCACTTGATTTAAAGTTGACAGGCAAAACATACTTGTTGAATTTAGCTTGGAATTGTTAAAATTATTATACCCCAATACTACAGTCTGACATTAGATGGGTGTTTGATAAATCAGGAAAACAGCACATTACCTTGAATAATTCATAAAGCTCTTCAAGGTCACTAGGACTGAATTTTACATCCTGGGACACAACACGCAGCTGAAGCAAAAGGAAGAGAAAATTAACTAAATGATGAGTCGTCCCATCTTTGGGATAAGCCTGTAGAATAAAGTTCTGGACGACTTACTATTACATTAAAAGATGAAGTTTTGGTATGTTACAATTAGAAGAAGAGAACTTCTCTTTTTAAAAGCAATCAGAAGATGATGGGCTGGAAAAAACAATTTCTCATAGAAAAGGAAGCTTAATGCAATTCACATTATTTGCATATACTGAGCCTACACTGACACAAAAGAGACAAAATCTGAGTGTCAAATATTTACAACAATGCAACATATAGCTTCTTTTATAAAACACAAATGCACATTCAGCCCTTACCAGTGAAAGTGAACTCTCATTTCTTTAATGAAAAAAAAGAAAACAATAACTTTGAAGATCAAATTTAGCTACAAAACCAGGATCCATCTTCACAGCAGATACATTTTATAAAACAAAACAGAAGAGCATTTAGTATTATTTGCTACAAGCCACATTTAGTAAAGAATGAAGCACAGCTTTTTAAGTGTGTCATTATTATCACCAGTTATTGGAACTGAGCCACAGAACAAAACAGGCAAACAAAGGAAGGTTCTTGCAACCTTTGCCTTCATTTAGGAGTTTGAACTTTAGGATGATGGCAGCTACAGAGTCAATACTCCACATATATATTACAGGACACTTATGCATACTACAGACAGAAGAAACAAGCTTTGTTAAACTGCAGTAAAATAATCTCTTCAGTGACATTTATGGTCACTCCCTACAGCAAAAATTTTCTTATTGTAGCACTACTGACATTTTACAGGGCTTTATGTCTCTAAGAGAAATGCATTAATAATTTCACCATAGTTAAAAAAAAA